ATTTGTATGTGCTCAATAAAGTCTTGTGTTTGGAATACCGATTTATTTCATTCTAGCATTCTCTTTTGGGCAGTTAAATAAACCTTAATAAAAACAAATCTTGACCAATATAATTTACATCTGAGAAGATATTAAAATCTAAATTTATACATATAGTGGCTTCTTAATTTATTCAGGTTTAAGCAACTGAAAAGTGACTACAAGCTGAGATTTGTAAATGTAAATAATGTTTAGGTTAACCCACTTACTAATTCGAAAATTATGGTCTCTTTTTTTCTCAATGGACATTAATCATATCAATTTGAAAATTTTCTCCCTCAGGGTAAAATTCATTTGGTAACATTAAAAGATGCTGATTTAGGATTTTGTCATATTACCCTTGTCAAAAATGCCTTTTGAACACCGAAACAATGTTTATCAAGGTGAGAGGGTTGAGCTGAAAACCATTAAACAAAATTGTAACTCCTATACATAATGAAAACAATACACTCATTTGCAATTATAACAAACATGTTAATAAAACAAAACTTGCATCAACATTTGTTTATAAGTAAAAACAAAATTCTTTATCCACTGTTTATAACAGGTTAGCTATAACATGTTAAAAGCAAACAAACTGAAAAGTAAATAAAGCTATCCAACACCACAGGATTTTCTAGCTGGGAACAAACTTTTACTGAAGTGGCTGATGCCATATTTTCTCACAGTAAACTACTAGCAAATATCATACACAAGACTAGAAAAAGCTTACATAATTTATATCTTAAAAAGAAAAAGTACTTGTATTGATTTGTATGTACTATTGACAAAAATTCAATTTAAAATATAAACAGAACAAATGTGCAACTTAACACTCTTCCACTATCACCAGCAGGTATACTATGAGAGCACTGAGACAGAGAGTGCTGCTGCACCACCAGCACCCCTAGTTCCTACACCCTTATATAAAAGTATCAGTTTGTTTCTACATACTCATGGTATATTAGCACATCAAGCCAATCTGAAGTATAGTTATGGAGCTTGATGCAAGAATGACATATTTCATGGGGTAGCATTTCTCTTTGATTAGAAATGGGGAAACAATAATATCACTACTTGCGTTTCCAATAACAATGTGAAGTTAACTTACCAAACTTTGTAGGAAACACAGATTCATCATTCACAGTTTTCTGTGTAAATGTCATCACATAATCTACATATTGTGGGGCTGCAACCTTACATTTCTTCCCTTTCTCATCAAACCACAGATACTGTCTAAAAAAAAAAGTGAGTACACATTTAGTGAGTAATGATTTATGCCCAGAAATTATAAAAACATAATTAGTTAAAAAAAAGAACTAAAAAATTAAGAAACTTATTACAGAGGAATTATTTCCATATAAATACAGAAACACATATATTTTAGTATTACAGAAACAATTTGAGTATTGAGATAAAGAAAAGCTGAAAAAAGATTATGACTGCTGTAAAAAAATCAGTCTTCTTTGAACAAAAATGGCACCATTTCACTGCAATGTAAAAACAGCTCTTCAGCCAAACAAATATTTGACAAACCTTTCAAATGTTTATCACTAGAACTTTTTTTAGAAGACTAAACAATAATTGTACTTACCTTTGAAGAAGGGCAATAAACATGAATGTGAAACAGAATACCAATCTCAAACAATTTGTGCATTATTATTTCTAAGCCTACAATTAAATTGCACATCTGGTTAACGGTAGCAATATTTTAAGGCTTAACTGACACTGATTAGAAAAATTGTAACTTTCAGGAAATTGTTAGCCCAATCAGTCTTACATTGGTTTACTCTAAAAGTAAAGGAGTTTCCAACTCTCAAAAATCTATCAGTAAACTATATTTATTTTGAAAAACTTGCATTAATATTGTTAGTATTTGAATAGCAAAATTTAAAAAACTCCTACCTATTGCAGGGACCAATCATGTCTGGACAACCTGACATTGTACAGAATTCTGATACTGTTCCATAGATTAGGTTGACATGGTCAAAAAATGCTAATGCTGAAAAAAAAAGAAAGAAAAAAAAACTCAACATGGTCCTTAATTTTGCACTGGCATGAACCTGCTAGTGTTTAAAAATTACAACTGGATGAAACAAAAAACATTAATATTTTATTACAAGTTACAGCTTTTACAGTAAATGAGAATATTTTTAAAGCTGTAACTTGTCATAAAATAATACTTATAACCAGTAACTTAACTCAAAACAAAACTATTAATTATTATTATTATTAGTAGTAGTAGTAATTTACACAGGTTTAACTAAAGATTTTTGAGATTGCCTAGTTTTGTGGATAAATCAGATTTTAATATAATATTATTTTAACTACAATAACTTGAGTAACTAAGACAATGCACTAAATTGTAAACTTCATTTGTATTAACCATAATCACTCAAATCCAGTCTGAAACAAGTTCCACTAACATTAAATCTCCGTGACTGTTTTGAAAAATGAGATTTCATTAGATACCTTAATTTATCTACTTATGATTTTTTTTATATTTTTTACCTAGTAAAGCAAGTTTATGCAATACACTTCTTTTTGAACATTAGTTTTTAGCAAATAAAACAGTTTATAGGTATAGAAAACTCAAAAGAGCAGTGTTTGGCTTAAGCAATTTTAACGGCTATTTGAATCCTCTAAAATCCACTCTCAGTGGCTGGGAGTACAAACTAAAACTATAATTTTCAAATGTTCCCTGTAAAAAAAGGTTACAGTTAATGTTAGGAAATGGTTCAGAACTGTAAAATTGTGCCCATCAAAGTAATGCACTTTTGTGTTCTTTCATTATAATGTATAATATACACTACAACAATATGCACTCATAGGCACTACTGGTATGTGATGGTGTCCATAAATCCTCTAGGTTCACTTTTAAGCTAACTCACTGAAAGTGCAAAATAAATCTAATGAACTAAAAATGTAGTTGCTTGATGAATTTTTTGTAAAGCTAGTTGAGGACTACTTGTACTAGCTGTCCCTAATTTTGAAGTGATAGACTAGAAGGAAGTAAGCTCATTTAGTCAACAACACCCACTGCCAACCCTTGGACTACACTTTTCAAACTGAATAACAGGATTTGACCATTGCTAGTATAATACACCTAAGGTCCCAAAGCGTGGGATACAATTATTTACTTTTTGAGGTAAAGGGACATGAACCTAGGAATCTTAGAACTATAGTTATAGTTCAGTTATATTAAAAATATTTGTAAAGCAGTTGAATTTTATTTGAAAGTATTTTTGTGTCATTTAAGACATCATTATAACAAAAAACAAGAAACGATTAAAAGGATTTTTTGTTTCCTGTTTATGTCTGGGGGGGGGGATACGTGAATATAAATGGAAACTAACAACTAAGAACAGTTTAGTTGCGGAAAATCTTTTGTCAGGGAATGTAACATTTTGAGCAAACATACAAGACCAGGCATATAAAGATTTTGCGATTTGTTTTACACCTTAATAATATCTTTCAAATGATTCATTATCAGGAGTTAAATTGAGGCGTGGAATGGAGTTCCATCTTTTAAGGATTCAAGCTATCAGCAGTGTTCCTGGTCTTCAGAGAGGAGTTACATCTCTTTCAAAATCCCAGTTTAACCACTGTTTAAATTCACTTTCCAAATGCTAAAGACCTCACGATCCAATTATCACATTATAATCTATTCCTTTTATCACGTTACTTCCCCGAGATTACAATGAACAACCCATTAGTTTAATTTACACTTTTGAATTAAGCATTATTTAGGAAAAAACATAAGTCGAAGTTCATAAGATTTTGGACTTTTTAAGCAAACATAAAATAATGTAAACTAAATATCTATAGCCAAAAACTGAAATCTATTCTATGATAGTCTTAATTTGGAACTCAGTTCTCTACGGAAAAACTTACTGTGAGACGCCAGCCATTCGGTGTAATCCAAACCTGTTGGAAGTTCTACTACTTCCCGTAACATGCTTTCTTCGATTGTAGATTCAAGTACTGCGGGCTCCAGATATAACTTCGACTCTTCTTGAGAGGGCGCCACTGCATCCTTATCTTTCCGACGAGTTTTCCTATCAAAACAAAGCAATTTCGATAATTTTGAAAATAACAAACAGTTTATGTTATGCAGCTATATTTGATTAAAAATACGTTATCATCAATTACACGTGTTATAGTAACGAAAAGTCATGTTTCATGAGGTTAAATATGTAGAAGAGTTAGGTTAAATTATTAGATCTAATATTCGTGAAAAAGATTACGTTCAACTGCAGATGGTCTATTGATTTTATAGTGTTTCGTTAGTCTTACAAGTTTAACAACGAAAATGATCACACACACACACACACACACCTATACGCTTGATCTGACCAGCATATACTGTTGAAATAATACAGTACCGCAAGGTTTCACAAAAGGCATTGGGGGAGGGGGGGGGGGATAATCTCCTGTGGGCCCCTAAAGCAGCTACTTGTGTTAATCCGGCCTAACTAGAAATGCCTCACAGAAACTGCCAATTGCCCCCCCCACACACACACACACCCTCGAGCTTTGAAGTGCCCTTGTTTGTACTCCAAATGACTCCACAAGACCACTCAAAACATTCGCTATCCTTACTAAGGCCCGCCCCAAAATTAACCTGTACATACGGAATACCTTACTTTCATTGCAGACAACACATTCAAAGAACGATATTCTAAAATTTGTTGATTTCAATTTCCCATCTTTGATTTTTAATACTTCACGCGAAATTTTCTTTGTGTTAAATGATTTTGTGTATTTGCTACATCCCCTCTCCCCGAAAATTTTCTGATATACCAGTTTAGGAACCCCTGAAATAGTGTATAATGTCTTAATAACCTCAAAGTAATCATAATAATCATCAGTAAATCGGATTACCACAAAAGCTGTATAATTCACTATCTACAAACATATCGTAAATAATACAGTACATCACCTTCACCTAAGGAAAGCACCAAAGACTTATTCCATTAACTATTTAGGTAAAATATATGCACTAAAACGTAGAAATTCTCAAAGTTCTTCATTTTCTTAATAAATAAAGAGCGGTGGTTTAATCTTACTTTAATATCATGCATTCGTATCAAGTCTGCCCAAAACTAGTCTTAAAAAGCGATAGGATAACGTAACTAACGATTCATACCAAATTTTATATTTTCCTCGACATAATATACTCATAAAAAAGAAATCCTTTACAGTCTACATTATGCAGTGATATTTATCACTCTCATTTTCAAACTCGTTATATCTATTTGTGTGTGTGTATATATATATATTAGTGACTAGCATATTTATTTAAAGAATTAAAACTAAGTCATTACCTTGAGCACAGAATGACGAAAGCAAACTCAACGGATCTTGCCAGCAATCGGAATAACTCCATGGTTTCCAAAGCGCGGACATTGCAGTTTTACACTCAAAACATTGTTTTTATAAGTACACACACACACACATATATATATATATATATATATATGTTCTATTACATAGCCTCACAGATTATCAAAACATGACTAAATTGACGATTTCATGAAAGGGAAAAGAAAACGAAGTGCTATCTGTAAATGCAGAAGTGCAGATAGACCCCGAGTAGCTTCGTGCGAAATTAAAAAAAAACAAAATACAATACAAAACTACTGAAAATATAGTTAGTTTTAAGAAACCAACTTGTCACTATTCCAGTGTAGACTATGATGAGCACACATTGCGGTAATATCAGCCTTGCGTTATGTACCGGTAAAGTCAGCCTTTCGTTGTTAATTTCCGGTAATGTCAGTTTTTGTGTTGTTAGCTTCCAGAAGCCTGAACCATTCCAGCAGAATTGGCAGATTTCGTGTTGTTATATTCTATTAAATTTCAAGTACTGTCAGACAACCTACAATGTTACAGAAATGTGTCAAATAATACAGGCCCATTGGCATAAACCGACCAAATGTTTTAAACTGTTAATTTGTCGATTTTTGCATAACAGTCCACACAAAACTGATCTTCTTATGGTCCACCGTGATTACACAATTAACATTGGTGTTATTTAGGTCCTGAAATTTTTTCTTGCTAACGTTCTAACGACAGTATGTTCAACTGCACAACAGTGATTTTAATAGCCACGCATAAGCACTTTTACCGTTACACGTTCTTTAAAGTGTCTGAAACAAGAGTAAATATTTAGGGCTGGGTGCTAATCCCTTTAAAACAGCAACTGTAATTTAAATATTTTGAACAATTCAAGTTTTATTTTAAACCGTGCCACAAATAATCATATATTCTCAACATATTTCTCTAAGCCTAAAGTGGTGGGAAATGATTCTCGTTATTAGCGTAGAAATTCTATTCTCGTCACCAGTATATTTTATTTTTCACAAACACTTCAGGTTGTCATATACTGAACCTCACGTTGACCCTATAACGATAACTTATCTTGTCACCAGCAGTTGAAGTGAATGACTTTTATTTGACCTACGACTCCTCAACTGTCAGTAACTCAAGTTGTCCTCAGTTCAAAGTTCCCGATTCTTTACAGCATACATCCTACACAAGTTTCAAAATATATAAAAGCACGAGAAATTAAAAAACGAGCAAACAAAAATCTGAAATATCATTACGTTTCAGAAATTGGTGAAGCTTGATCCAGCTAGCAAGGTTTTAATTATTATTACTCAACTCACTTTTGCACAAATAGTCGACATAATTGGCGTGAAACAGTTACACTACGGTGTAGCCCTGACCAAATTAAAGAACTTTCCCAAGCATATAATAGCAAACCGTTACTGAACTTGCTGGGTTGTAAAACATTCAGATAAATTCCTTGTGTCAGAATTTCTCCCGATACAGTAGAGTCCAGAGGCAACTTTCATCTCGGTTCTTTTCCTGACGAAGCCACCTTTCATAAGCAGACAGATGGCAGTAAAAACTAGCAATTTTCAAGTCTCGAGAACGAAAGCCCTCATTTAGTCCTAACACAGAGCATAATACCTAGCCATATTATCAACAAACAGCGAGGAAGACACATGGATATAAACCTATAGAACTATACATTACGGATTATATGAGAAAATACGAACATTCTAGTAATACAGTCAGTGTTGCTCCTAAAACTAAGAGAAGAAAAACAAACTGGAAAGTACGATCGCTTTCACTTTAAAATAATACGGACTGCAAACTTTAAAACATGCTTGCCTTCAATCACTGTAAAACTGTAAGAATGGAATACTTAACAAAATACTGTAGCATCCAATGTGAAGCCAAATCAATATGGCATGGAAGTACTTGAAATATGATAGATTTCACGGTAAAAACAAAGCTTAGGACTAAAAGTGCTTGAAACACGGCAGCTTTCACCGTAGAGCCAAAACCTTATGGACAGGGATACTTGAAATACAGTAGATATCAGGGTAAAGGTTGAGTCTTATCAGGTACTGCCAAGAACAATCATTTTAAACAGAACGAACTCTTTTACATTTTCAGAAATTGTGCCGTTTCTGGAGATTAAACTTCACACAATTTTATATGTCTGCTTCATCGACGGACTTGTGACACTATAAGTCGAGTTATCCGCTGCAGTAATAGTTACAGCACAGGTATGGGCTTCAGTGTAAACCTTGTAAGCAGCGATGCAACAACGAGTTTCCGTTTTACACAAAGACTGCATGTACGCGTGTATGATGGGGATGAAACAACCAGCAGCTTGATACGAGGAAACCACTCCACCTGTGGCAACTGTAACACACACCATAAACATCACGAGGAAATACACACTCACATACATATACCAATAGAAGAATACAAGTAGTAATTACTTTTTTTTTTTCTCAGATGGCGTCACATTATTATTCATTATTTTGTATATTTATATAAAAAGTATGTACAGAGATAATGGTTTTCAACTTTTACGGACTTCAATTACCGTGTTTAAGATATGGTATCGTCAGGACTTGCTTCCACTGCCTTCCCAGAGCTTCCACGTTTTTTATTTTATATTATTATCATTACATAATAAAAGAGAAATAAAATTGCAAAATGAAGAAACAGCCTTTATAATCAAATGTCACTAACAGCAAAGTATATTACACCTTCTTAAAATATGAGGTTTAAACACATATACAATGTGTTGTTGCGGTTACTGAAAATAAACGAGTGACGACAGAAATCCAACTTTGACCTTCGTTCTGGGAGGAAATAAGAAGGAACATAGAAGTCACCTTATGTCCGAAACCTTTCTACTTAAAACTGACCGTTGGATAATCAAAAATTTCGGTCATCTTTCATTTGAACAGTTCACCACTACTTACAAAACAACATCAACAGGTGGAATTTCACACCTGTAACCTTCGATCATGACCGCCTGTCCCCAACTCTTCCTCAGTTTAATAAGTTTAATGTCCAGAAGATTGGCTTTAGTCCCTCTAACCGTCTAACGTATCAGCGTTTAGGAACACAGGGCTGAATCGTATATAGTCGTGTTCTGATTGGATCGATTACAGCGAAAAAGGATTGACTGCGAACCTAATTTTGGCGGGAATGGTTATCTGTAAACTTTATTATTTGTTTACTTAGTTTTCTAATTTCATTGGCAGCAAACTTCCTACTTTCCCTCTCGGCTTTTACACTTGAGGACAAACCAGTGGTTCTCGAGGTAGTACGATGTATAGTATTCGCCAATGAATTTCACCGTTATCTGTAAGGTAACTTTAAGCTAGTTCGAACGCAATGCTTCAAAATAAAATAAAAGACAATCATTTATCCTACTTAATTCAAGCAAAGCTAGAATAACTAATCCTCCAGAAACCAACGTTCCTTACACGTTCTGGTGTTCAAGTGGAAATAAAAGGCTGTTACTTACAAATAGGAGTATTTCTATTTATTATCTTTGATTCCAAGGTAAAACTTTGAAAAAACACAAGAGAATCCTCAATAGCTGCGGATGTAATTAGATCTCAAATCGGTCAAGGGATGGAGCTATAAGCTAAAAGTTTGATTGTTTGTTTGAGGTTAAGCACAAAGCTCACGATGGGCTATCTGTGCTCTGCCCACCACGGGTATAGAAACCCGGTTT